AAAGAAGCTGAGGAAAAGGGTGACCCTGTAGGAGGACCAGCAGTCTCAATTAACCTGGACCCCCGAGATCCCTCAAACAATGGACTACCAAAAAGGAGGATATACCAGCTGATATGAGACCCCCAACACATATACAGCAGAGGACTGCTGGGTCTGTATTCAAACAGAGATGATGTACCTAACCCCCAAGAGACTGGAAGCTCCAGGGAGTTTAGAGGTCAGGTGGGGTAGGGGTATGGGGACAGCTTTGTGGAGACTGGAGGTGGTTTGGAGGTATGGGATGTGGAACGGTCGAAGGATGGATGCGGGAGGTGGGGGGGGGATAAAATCAGAAGTGTAAATAAATAAATAAATATTTGAAGCATTGACTTAGAACAACAATAACAACAACAACAAAAGAGATGATGCACCTAATCCTCAAGAGATTGGAGGCCCCAGGGAGTTTAGAAGTCAGGTGGGGTGGGGGTTGATGGATAGGAACAGCCTTGTGGAGACAAAGGTATGGATTGGAGGTATGGGATGTGGAACAGTTGGAGGGTGAAGGGGGGTGGGAAATAAATTCTGGAGTGTAAATAAATAAATAAACAAATAAGAAAAAAAGCTATAACTGAATAAAATAGGTGATACAATTTACTGAAATGTGTAGGAAACAAGTTGGAAATCCTAAAATGAACATTTATAGTACTACGTGCCTACATCAAACATTAGAGAGATGACAAATATGTAAATAATGATATATATTAAGACTCAGAAAACCTAAATTCAACTCAAAGCTCAACTAAACTCAAAACTAGCAGACAGGAAGTAACAACCAAAACTATGGCAGAAGCTAATGAAACAGATATAAACAAACACAAATAAACATATAAAATATTGAATTAGTTCTTTGAAAAGATAAATAAAATTGACAAATCCTCAGCCAAAAATAAGAAAAAGGAGACAGAGAACACACATTCATAAAATTGGAGACATTAAAACAGATTAAAATAAAGCCCAGACTATCATGAGGACATATCATGAAAATTTGTTTTCTACTAAATTGGACAAGTGAAAAAGAAGTAAATGAAACAAGCCCATTTACATTTGCCACTAAATAGATGCATGACATGGTGGGCTGAAGGAGATGCCTTCATATTCTTGAGCATATGACTACTTTGCTTCTAGTTCGTGGTGTTATTTTAGAAGTTTAGGAAGTGGAGCCTTGCTGGAGGTCAAATCATTGGATACATGTTTTGACAGTGTAAAGACCTGTGTCATTCCCAGCCTGCTCTCTCTGCTTTTCTGCATATTATTATAGATGTGAGCCTTCAGCTTCCGCTCCAGTCATCATGTCTGCTATTGGCTGCCACGTTTCCCCAATCTAATGGGCTCGTAACATTCTGGAACCATAACACAAATAGACAAATAAAGCCTTCCTTTTATAAGTTTCCTTGGCCATGATGTTGTATCATAACATTAAAATAGTATCTAATATACAGTTTGTATCAGAATTGTGAGGTATTTCTATGTCATATCTGCACATATGTTTTGTTGTTATTGTTGTTGTTGTTTTTGGAATAATGTGAAAGGTAATGAAATTATCAATTAAAAATCAGTTGAGGGGCTGGAGAGATGGCTCAGCATCTCTTATAGAAGACCCAGGCTCTCAACAACCACATGGCAGCTTATAACTGTCTATAACTCCAGTTCCAGAGAATCCAACACTCTGACACAGATGTACATGTAGGCCAAACACCAAATGTACATTTAAAAAAATAAATACATTATTTAAAAAGAAATCAATTGAACACTGTAAGCAGTATTTAATTGGCTCTCCTCATAGGAGTTTGGAAGACAGGAGTGTTAAGAGCCATGTGGACTGTGAAGGCCCAGTTCAAGAGTTTTCAGAAAGAAAGAATATTAGCAACTGAAAAGAGATTGTTCCTATATAATTTTGGCAAAAAAAAGATAAGATAGAAGTGATATTTTCTGCCTTTATCCAATAAATGTAGTTTTGACTAAATTTAAAAAGTAATGATCTGAAAATCATTCATTATTATTTGTCCCAGTAAGGACACTTGTTCCCTCCACAAATCTTGTCTAGTTCAATATCTGAAACCTGGGTAGCATACCCAAGTCTGCCCTCCTGCATAGTCTGGCTACCACTAGCTTTGCTTCCCAAAACTCTAGGCTTCTTCAAAGATCCTCCATGCTTACAGAAAACTCACAGGCCCTCCTATGCCATATTTAACTCTATACTGCCATGTCCTGCACATTGAGGGTCTAGATGGATATGTCTGCCTCAATCCACCTTTGTAAGTTCTGAGATCTACCCCCAAATCACCAGGATTAGGCTAGGTCACACATCTTGCATGTAAGCAGAGCTCCCCATGTACATGTGACTTCGTTTCATGTAAGCCATATCTGATCTTTACACTAAATTTGGCCCACATACCCTGTGTTCATTCCCAAGTTGATCTACGCAATGATGTTTATATGCCCAAATCTCATTGTAAAACTACAAACAATGAAAAAATTGAAGGTTAGGAATCTTTCTACCTTCCAAACTCACAAGGCAATAATATGTTTGTCAAGTTGAGTCATGCAGGTAAACGCAGGCCACAGAATTTAAAAGAACAGTCATTTAACTTCATCAAAAAATTCAAGGTGATTAAGGAAGACACAAGAAAACAGATCAATAAAATTAAGGACAAGAAATTAAGGAAAATAAATGCCAGAGTAGTTCCAAGAACACACAAACACAAGTCTGATGGAAGTGACAAAGACAATACAGAATTTGAAAATTGGATTCAGTGAAGAGACAGAAACATTGAAGAAGACTCAAGGTGAAACAAAAATGGAGCTGAAAAACCCAATAAATTGGCCATAAAATACAAGGAATTTGTTTTGCAAGTGGAATGAATCTAACAGAAGAGAGAATATATGAAAAAAATCCATGATGATGTAAGAAATAGATAAAATAAGCAAATAAAATGAAAAATGTTAAACATAGAGAAGAAATATACAGAAAATTATGAATACCATGAAATGACCAAACCTTCAAATTGTAGGCATAGATGAGAGAGAATAATACCAGATCAACAACATAAACAAGATCTTTAGTAAGCATGTAGAAGAAAACTTTGCCAAATTAAGAAAAAAGTGCCCAAACAGATATAAGAAAAATACAGAAAACCAAAGACAATGGAGCTGGTCAGAATGAGTGGATATACTTGAGAAGAATCTAGGTTCCCAAGTTAGGGATGGGAGCAGCCCAGGGCCCTTGGTCTGGTGACTGAGTGTAGTTAGTAATACAAGCTGGAGCTCAGGGAAAGGGCCTGGAAGGTACAGGCTGATACATACATAGATACGTATACACACACACACACACACACACACACACAACACACACACAGCATGAAGTTCATGAAATAGAGTAGTAGTTTAAGTTCCCCAAATGGAGATGGGGAGGATCAAGAGTTCTTGAAGTGAGAGAATGGGGTTCATAGCACAAGCTGTGGTTTTCAGCACTAAGACAGTGTTCTGTAGGATGGTAGCAGGCACGCTGTATCCAGGACTAGTCACCAGGGTAGCTCTAAGTATTTGTATTTTATTTGTCTGTCTTTGTGTTTCTTTTGCTCTTTCATTCCAGTTTTCCTGTGTTTCTGTTACTGTATTTCTGAGTTTTCGTTTCATGTGTTTTCACATAACAATAGTGATGTACACATACCATTACTTATTTTCAGCAGAGAAATGTTACGTGTTTCAACATAATCTCTGCAAGGAAAAAAAATATGATAAAAATGATCCTGTTGTACTCACATTTTTAATTCACTTTAAAATATTATTACACCTTTGGCTAAACTAGACAAAAATTTGAATAAAGGGATATGTGAATACAATGCATTAATGTTGTAAAGTTAAATTTAGATCTATCTACTCTCAAAACACCAAAATTCAAATTCATTTAAATTAATAAGAAAAATAACATGGAAATAATAATTGTTAATAAATACATTGATCGTGTTTTCTCTTCCACAACACATCTCAGATCCTCCCTATATCCTTAACCCTCTCTCTCTCTCTCTCTCTCTCTCTCTCTCTCTCTCTCTCTCTCTC